AATACGAAGATAGTGTAAGGAGCCTCTGGGACAGCTTCAAGTGTACCAACATCAGAATTATAGGGGTGCCAGAAGATGAAAGAGAGCAAGATATTGAAAACCTATTTGAAGAAATAATGACAGAAAACTTCCCCCACCTGGTGAAAGAAATAGACTTACAGGTCCAGGAAGCGCAGAGAACCCCAAACAAAAGGAATCCAAAGAGGACCACACCAAGACACATCATAATTAAAATGCCAAGAGCAAAAGACAAAGAGAGAATCTTAAAAGCAGCAAGAGAAAGAAGCTCAGTTACCTACAAGGGAATACCCATATGACTGTCAGCTGATTTCTCAACAGAAACTTTGCAGGCCAGAAGGGAATGGCAAGAAATATTCAAAGTGATGAATACCAAGAACCTACAACCAAGATTACTTTATCCAGCAAAGCTATCTTTCAGAACTGAAGGTCAGATAAAGAGCTTCACAGATAAGGAAAAGCTAAAGGAGTTCATCACCACCAAACCAGTATTATATGAAATGCTGAAAGGTATCCTTTAAGAAGAGGAAGAAGAAGAAAAAGGTAAAGATACAAATTATGAACAACAAACATACATCTATCAACAAGTGAATAAATAATCTGGTGATCATAATAGAATCAGGGACATAAAAAAAATGGTGTATTGAAAACTCTTAGCTCTGTTCCTTCCATAAATCTTACTACCAAGATAGTGAACTCTCAAGGACAAGATGACAGGAAAGGAGAAAACCACAGAAATATGAAAACCAGGAAACAGACGGGCAAGTGGGAATAGGCTTAGCCAACCTAGAAAGTTAAATATTCAGCTAGCAGTGAGAAAGTCAGTAAGTGACTGGCTTGGTACAACACTTTTGAAAACTCTTTGGAATTATTTCCCAAAGTTAAATCTACATCTTCCCAACAACCCAGCAATCCCACTCCCAGGTCCGTAACTAAAGAAATGAGTGTGCAGCTCGGCTAAAATACATGATATGAATGTCACAGCAACTTTATTCATAGTCCCAACATAGAAATGACCCAGAATCCACCACTAGTGAATGAGTAGATAAGTTGTGACATAATCATTAGATGGATGTAACAATAATGAAGAACATCACGGGCACTGAGAGTGCCTGTCATCTCGGCTGCCAACATAGTTGTCACCACTGTGAGCAGAAAAGGTGTCTGGAACTCCTCATTGCTATCCCTGCCCTGCCTGTTGCCTTCTCTGCAAAGGAAGGAGGCCCAGAGGGAACCTAGGTGATGGGTAGGGTCAACACACACCACTGACTGTGTGGGGAACACGACCTGACTTCCAATTCAGGATTAGACATTCCAGCCTGACTCCTAGTCCCAAACCAAAAGGGTGTAGAGGTTATTGCTGCTGCATGCAACAACATGGATGACTGTCAGACAGTATGCACAGGAAAAGAAGCCTGAAGAGTACCTACTGTAAGACTCATTTTTATGAAATTAAAGAACAGGCAGACCCAACTGACAGTGCATGAAGGTTACTGATGCAGAAGAGGCAGCGGGGAGCCCTCTGGTGTATTTTGATCCAAGTGGTGGTTAAGGGTGGATTTACATCAAGCTCTTCACTTCAGATTACTTGCATTTTACTTTATGTTAAACCTCAATTTTAAAAAAGTGAAGAAAATGAATTTTTAAATATCTGCTTTGTATCACAGATGCCCTAAAGGCCCAGGAATCTGTGGTGACAGGTAACCTTGGAAATGGGGGTAAAAGAGACCTAAAACAGAGAGATTGAACGAAATTCCACGAAGCTGGACCACTGTCCTCCTCACTTTGGCAGAAGGCGGTTTCGGTTTTTGTAACAAGTAAACAGGGGATTCTGAGAGACCCAGCAGGTAGAGTTAGGGGCGAGGTACCATAGAGAAGACAGGAGGATTAAGATGAAAGGTTTTACCCCCTTTTTGTGAACACCGCCTTATTCTTCCATTTGGATCCTAGCGCGCCCCCAATGAGAGCGGCCAGGCAGAGCCCTCATTGGGGCATCTGAGAACCAAAATGGCCTGAAGACACTGGGGAGCAGGGGAGCCTCACCACTATGGCGCAAGACCCCCACGCAGCATCCAATCAGCTTCGCGGTGCTGCATTCTTCCTTCACTGCACTCAAGCTGGAGCAGCGAACCGAGGATCATTACATGCCTGAGGAAAGGCCAATACGAAAGCCACGCCAAAATAATCAAAACGGGAGAAGACAGAGACTATTGGGGGAGAAGGGGGAAAACTATCATTAATATTCTCAGAGAAAGAAGATACTGCACTCATCAAACAATTACAGGATGCTACTTTTAAAAAGATTAATGACCAAAAAAAGTTCTTGGAAATTAAAACTATGGTAGAAGAAATGAAAATCCAGTAGAAGCTTAAAGACAAACTTGTGGAAATATCTCAGAAAGTAGGATAAGCAAGGAAATGGAAAAAAGGAGATAATACTTGAGGACCAGTATAGGAAGCCCAGTATCTGGAGAATATGAATACCAGAAAATACAGAAAAACTCACAGGAGAGAATCACCAATGAAATCATTCAAAAACATTTGATGGCCATGACTTTATTAAGTGGATTAAGCAGATTCACACCATGGTTCATTAGTGTTATTTCAGAACCCTGGATAAAAACGTAAGACACTACAGGCTTCCAGTCTTATAAAAAGATCAAGAATCAGAATGAAACCGAGCATCTTAAAACCCTACTTAACAAGCAAAAGCAAGGAAGCAAACCTTACAAAATTCCGGAGAAAAATTACTCCTTACCTAACATTCTATACCCAAATTACCAAACTATCAATTTAATGTCAGGGTCAAATGATGATATTCTCAAATGTAAATTCTTCCCCAGAAGCTACCGGAGGATGAGATGCATCTGAAAAGGAAGGGAATTGGGGTCCAACATGAGAGAAAGGGGAAATCAGTCCCTAGAATGGGGATGAAGTCCCCAGGAAATGGTGTTAGCAGGCTTACAGAGTAACCAGTCAGGGCCTTAGGAGAAATTTCTTCAAGAAGCCGACACTGATAGAATGCCTAATATTTTAAAATTTATTGACAGGAAATTTATGTACTTATGCCTTTGGAATTAGTACATTTTAAAAAGTAAGGTTGAAATAGTACATTTTAAAAAGTGAGACCTTTTGCCCTAACCGGTTTGGCTCAGTGGATAGAGCGTCGGCCTGCAGACTGAAGGGTCCCAGGTTCAATTCCAGTCAAGGGCATGTACCTTGGTTGCAGGCACATCCCCAGTAGGGGGTGTGCAGGAGGCAGCTGATCGATGTTTCTCTCTCATCGATGTTTCTAACTCTCTATCCCTCTCCCTTCCTCTCTGTAAAAAAATCAATAAAATATATTTAAATAAATAAATAAATGAATAAAAAGTGAGACCTTTTATTTTCAAAAGGCAAATAAAATTTCCAGGAAAAATAATCATGACATATTACAGAGCTCAGTTGTGAACAATGCTTAAAATAAAGTATATATAAACTATTATAAATATTAATACCTATATAATCCAAATTAGGCTTTAACAAAGATGCAAACCCAATAAATAATAAGCAGATCCAGAAGTAGCAACATGAGCACACTATTTAGAACTATGTAGGCGATGATCAACAAAATTAGCTAAAATCGTTGAAAGTGGTGGCCAACGGGAAGTGAGCAAAGGGCAGGTGAGGAGCTGTAAGCTGTTGCTCCTCCACTTTCTGTGTATAACTATGTGACTCATTAATCTGCTTGCATATATAATGCTGGCAAAAATTAAGAACTAAATCAAAAAAGCAAAACTTGAAATCATCATACTATTTTTGTTTAGTATAAAATAGCAATTCCATAACCTATATAAATGATTACACAATAATTTTTGTAATTTTAAAAAATCATTTTGCTGTCCACAGGTGAGCCAAGTCTTGCGAGTAAGAGAAACATCTGGAGGAGGAGCAGGAGGACAGGGAAGAGGAGAGGAGCTGGAGGGAACAGTTTCTAGCAAGAGGAACAGTATGTGTGACAACAGTATGTGAAAGGGACACAACCCCTGAGGAACTGAAAAGCAGCCAGTATGGTTAGAGGCCGGAGTGAAAGATCTCGGCAGGCCGGCCAGACCCAGGAGAGCCTGTGGCCCACCATGGGAACGTGTCTGAATCCTGAGAGCAGTCCCTGAAGGGTTTTAAGTAGCGATGGGCATGTTCAGGACTGCAATGTTTATACTGACCACACTATTTTTGAAGAATGAAAAGTTAGCAGATGGTCTAAGGGCTTGCCCTTGACTTCTATATTCACGTGAGGCTGTAGAGGCCAGAGGGGCCTCCTAAGCTGTGAGAAGAAAAGAGACACTGGAGGGCAAGGAAGGGGCTTGAGGTCACTAGGGTGGTGGCCAGATATGGAACAGTAGAAGGGGCCAGATGGAGGGAACACATGAGTAATTTTCTGTCTTCCTGGTATCTATCCTCTCAGCGTCAGGGGACATGACACATACTTGCAAGACCAAAGGATCTGGTTATTTTTTAAAATAAAAAAATCACTAGCATCTTGTTCTACCAAGGAAAAGTTATCATGACAATAAGAATGATGCTTGTCAATAATAATTTGTTTGATGCATGTAGAGGACCTGCTAAGATAATCAGAATTTGGATTATTCTTCCCTTAGAAATGTTAGCAATTCAAGGTTCACACCATAACATGTCCATCAATAACAGATGGCATGTTCTCTTTTTGGGGGTGGTGGGTTGTTCTTTAAGGCATGAATATGAAACGGCACCCTTCCATCATAAATAATTCTTTAATTCAGATGTAGAGTTAAAGGCAGGAATAAAGGAATGTGCAACTCAAAGTTGTGCTCGTGTTCAATAAAGACAGCCGCAGACTAATCTACGGTCACCATCAAACCACCCTCTGGCACCCACAGCCTGATATCCACAACCTCCTCCACACAGCAGGAGAGGCATGCAGGGCTGGTTGGGAGTCACATCATTCTCTTTTCAAGACCAGCCTCTTTTTTTTTTTTTTTTTGTCTGTGTGCAGTCTTTATTTCAGATAATTGTTAAAATACCATCAGGTTATTCCTCAAGAAAAGAGCAAAGATCACTCTCTACCAAAACTTAGGAATTATATACAGAACTTTACAAATCAGAGGACAACACTTTAGCTGAAGCCTGGCTGCTGACCAGAGAATGAATTCTGAGTAGACTCAGCGAAGGGAAGCAGGCAGGGAAGGGAAGGGAGCCATGTGAATCAAACTTCAGCTGCTATCAGGGAAAGTCTGGTGATGGTCACAGATTGGAGGCTGTGTTTGGAGGTTCAAGTACATCTCGGGTTCCATGTGTCTAACTGGCTACACCCCTGGCTGAGGTGCCATTAAGTCAACGTCACTCAAATTCCTGGCCAGCCAAACTCCTGCAGCGAAAAGTCCCAAATTGAGAATCAAGTTCCTCCGGAAATCATTCCTGTCGGCCAAGCGGTAGATGCCCCAGAGCCAATCTCCCACGTTGTCCAGAATTTCGGGAGCTTCATTTGCCGAGCCGCCAGCACTCACACCAACCCCGCTGAAAGCTATAGCAGCACCTCTACGCTCCGCAAGGCCTGACCCAAGACCAGCCTCTTGAAAAAGCCTGGCATCCCCACACAACAAGGCATTGCAGAGCAAAACAGGAAAGCATCCTGAAGTTCCTGTCAATGTTTGTTAGAACTGGGCTTGAGGATGGGACTCCCATGCACAAAGCCAGGGGAAGACTGGCAGGCTTTCTGTTAATGGACATCTGAGTTGTCTGCAGAGAAATCTTTAGACTGAAGTGTCTATAATGCAGCCACTATTGCTGTGTTGGGAATAGCCCTCTGCAAACTCCAGACGCACTTTAGGCTGTTTGACAATAGTGATGCCATCATATGCAGGTTAATATAGGTTCAGAGAAAGAAAGTGGAAGGTCAAAGGCAAGGGCTTGGCACTGGAAGGAGAACACAAGGTACCAGTGCTATTTAAAAAATATTTTTAAAAATATTTTATTGATTTATTTTTTAGAGAGAGAGGAAGGGAGAGGGAGAGATAGAAATATCAATCAGCTACCTACTGCACGCTCCCTACTGGAGATCAAGCCTGCAATCCTGGAATGTGCCCTTACCAGGAATCTAACCAGTGACTTCTTGGTGCATGGGTCGACACTCAACCACTGTGCCATACTGGCCAGGCAAGGTCCCAGTTCTTAACTCTCTGTCATAATGTAGAGTTGGAATACACTCTGCAAATAAAATGTAGCAGATTGCTAAAAAGTCACTCCTTAAATTACACATTCAACATAGAAGGGAATGATGTCTTTTGAAGGAAATATATGAAATATCCTTATCTAAAAATTTTTTAATCTCTCCTCTAATAAATTCTGATATTTGTAGCATATATCACATCACAGAGTAGAATACATTATTTTCCAGGTCTTGAACCACAGAAATAAAAGAAATACAACAAGGAATATTTTCTCCATACCAACTTTAGGATCAGCCCCAGCCACAGAAGAAATTACAGAAATCCCTTCCCCAAAACGTGCTGCAGTTACTCAGAACTGGAGTAGCCCTCAGCGTGGTTCTCTGCAGCTTCTGGGTTCAGCAGCTTGTGAGTCACTCTATTTGGAGGCCGTCTGATCAGAAGGGTTGGGAAGAGGAGAGGAGGAATGAGGATGGCTGAGTAGGAGACGTGTCTTTGCACTGTTGTCCTGACAAATCTGGACTTGACGTCAGCACCCTAGTGCTTGCTGGCCAGGAGGAATCAAGACATAGAAGACGAGCCAGGGAATCAGGAATCAATCATGGGGAACCATAAAGTGAGAAAGAGGATGGACATTTAGAAAGAGAAAAGGCAATGCCGGGGTAAAGGAGAGCTTGGCAGAGAGGGGAGGATAGATAGCGTGGTACGCAAGCGCACAAAACATTTACAAAGTTGTCTTAATATTAAGAGGCTGATGCTGAAGCATATCCACCAAGATATGTTTCCAAAGAAAAAAAATGTTTCTATCTTAAAGTCTATAAAATAACACTGGAACTATTTTTACTTCAGGTGCGATGTCATTGTTCTCTTTTAGTGAGCATTTCACAATTGGAAGGGTGGTGTGTTTTTAATAAAGGGACGCCATGCAGCCATTCACAACGATCCTTGTAATAACGAGGAGGCTTGTTTATGTTACATGAAGAATTGCAGCACACAGAACTGCAAATAATTTATGAACTCAGCTATGCAAAAAAAATTTTTTTTTTAAAGATTAGAAAGGAAATATGCCCAAAATGTCACTAGTTATTACCTCTGGGTGGTACAGAACTGAATGATTTTTCTCATTCTTCTTCCCAATTTTTTTTCAGTTAAGCATCTATTACTTTTATAATCACAAAAAAGCCACACATACTATTTTTTAAAAAACAACAACAACCATGGTACAGAAATAAAATCTCCCTGGATATTTTAGTTCACAAATGTATAACTGTAAGCTGCTGTATAAATGTATAACTGAATATAGATGATCACTGTTTCATTTATTCTCAAATAAGAATGAATGCTGGGAGTGTCAGGAATAATAAATGGCAAAAGCTCCAGGCAAAGTACTCTACCTACTTAAACAGAAAGAGATTATGCAAATTATTTAGAGTGCTGAGAGTATGGCCTAACTGCTGGGTAAATGCTTATTAAGTAGCCTACAAACAGGGCCGTGGACTAAAAATTATAACCCTGCTCACAAAACGAATGTCCCCTTATTAGAACCCAAATACAGTTGCAATATTATTAGCAAACTGTTTTTGCCAACATGTTTAAGGGAGAAGCTAAATTCTGGCAGGCTGAAATTACTGTCCCTGGCAGAAACACGTCCAATGCGGGAGGCAGCGACGCATCAGGGAAGACAGGAGGGCTACAGAGGGAAGGGGTTTGGGTCCGAGTCCTGGTTCTGCCCCTTACATAGCTACACAACCTTAGGCAAGTCATTTCCTCTCCCTGAGATTCCGTTTCTTATCCCCAAATAAGTATAATGTCTAAACTGCCAGGACTGCCATGAGAATAGGCAAGTGTGTGTATGTGTAGAGTGATTGGCAGAGAACCTGGCTCAAACCAGAGAAGGAAGGAAGGAATGAACAAATAATCAAAGCAGGTGAGCTTTTCCTCCTTTTTGGTATTGTCTACGGAGACCAAAGTACTTGTTCAGTACACGCTGGAGGAACAGTGGTGGGACAGAGACCTACTGGTAGGCCAGCCCCACTCCCATTTCCTCCCTTTCCCACCTCCAGTATAGAGGCTGGAAATGCTACACACACAGTTCCCCAGACTCCTTTCTAGCTAACAGTGACACTAGCAGAAACTGGCTCAGCGAAGTCCCAGGAAACTTCCGCTATCTTGAAAAGGGGGTCAGATGTCACTGGTATTGCCTCCCAACCTTCCTTCTTCTCTTAAAGATGGAGGAGCCTTGTTACCATGAAAGAAAAATAAGCTCCACTTTATTTAAGTTACTTTTTGTCTAAACCTGCAAATACATCAAGACAAATACATTATGAAAGAATACAAACCATGAATATAACTTTCATTAGGTCTAGTCCTTGCTCTCATGAGGACAATAAAAAGGGCTCACAAAGAAATGTAAAATTATAATGTATTATTAGTGTTATGAAGAAGGAGCACTTGAAATTCTCTCTTTCATATGTCAAGGGTTTTGAGCCAGGGTGTGGTGTAGTGAAGGGGGGAGGTGGGGAGGGAGGGAGGTAGAGAGAGAGAGAGATTGAGAATACATATCTGTGGTCAGGAAAGCTTCCTGAGAGGTCATGATGATATTGGGGAAGGAGGGGATTAGTGGGGAGAGAATTCTCAGCAGAGTGAATGGCAGGTGCCAGGCCCTGTGGAAGAACAGAAGAGTATGAAGTGTGAGATCTTGACCATGACAGCAGCTGTCTCACGGAGGCATGAAGACGTATAATACAAAATCAGACCATGGGAGGTGGGCAGGGGCAGACCTCTTTCAACTTTGTACTTATTATAAGTATTTAGTTGTCTTTCCCCTCTAAGAGCAAGGGAAAGCAATATAAGTGAGTTTGGCAAAGAGGTGATGTTTTCATTTTGGATTCTGGTGGTAATTTATCTCTCTGTGGGTGTGGTGTGGTGCATGAGAGAGATTGAGGATATGTATCTGTGGCTAGCACAGCCAACCAGATAGCCAATGTCCATTCTCCCTTCTTCTTTGCCACGAGAAACCAGATTTTGTTTGGGGCAGCCATGTGCCATGCCCAGCTAAAGGACTATGATTGGTCCAAGCCAATAAGCACATTGCTCTCCCCTTTTTCCCAAGACTCCCTGGAGTCCAGGAATGGTCATGTAACCTGGATCTGACTGATGAACCTCAGAAGAAATCCAGTTGGTGGTGGGGTGGGAGTGAAGGTGTGTATATAGGGCACAGTCTTAGGGAAGTGTTTGCTTTCCTGATAAAAGAGGGCTCATGTGGTCAACACAGCCATCCTGAGACCACAGGGCAACAAACAGGAAGATGAGAGCCAGTATGCTAAGAATGATGATGCTTACAGTCAGGAAGACCCCAGGGCCCCGAAGGCACTGCTGGGAGGTGAGCTCAGGACCCCTATTTGTTTAAGCTGCCAATGCGTGGGTGGCCTGTCAGTTGCAGCCAAACACTTTCCTAAGTGATATGCAATCTTTTCTCATCTGGCCAAAGGAGAAAAGGCTACAGATCCACAGCTGCTCACCACGCCTGGTAAGGAGTGTGCTCAGCAGCTCTAAGGAGCCGGCACTGCACTGGGTAACATTCCCATTCCAAAACCAGAACTGTCCGATACAGCAATAGAATGGGAACCAATTATGAAAAAATATGACTGTAACTTCAGGCCAACTAGCTGGATGGTACTTATAACGGAGGGGGCAGGCCACCAGACGAGGTAGATCATCAGAAGAGCTGTTCTGCCTCATCAATGGCACCAGGGACACTCAGAATGGTTCTATACCAGCCTTTTAAAAAATGGGCTAAAAATGAATCCTCCTTCGATGCTTTTCTATAGAATAAGTGAGGAGCTGAGACGAACTTGTTTATGGAGAGCTGCGGAGAATCACATGTGAGCACGAGAGGGGGCGGTCATTACAAGTGATAAAGGGACTCCATCCACTGGGGTGCAATCTAAGGTATTCTAAGCTCAATTCAGAGTTTTAGAAATGGGCATGACTATTGCTTCCCTTCATCAAGGGCAGAAATTTGTTGGACACTATTGATCTGTTCGCACAAGCCACCAGGAAAAAATCACTATGGGAAAGCAGGTTGGGCATGTGAATTTCTACGGGACAAGAGACACTAAATGCCCAAATAGGACACCTGTTGGGATTCTGTGAGCGGGTTCAGTTAACTATGCTGCAACTTAAAATTTCTAGTATACAATGCCAATCACTGTACGTGTGCTTACCTCCTACCTATGGTCAAAGTGGCAGTATTTAAAATGTGACAAAATAGAGACGTTCTTATAAACACACGAATAGAGAAATATGTAAAAATGACCGTAATACTTTAGGAAAAATATTTTAAATAACTGCAGACAAGCCTTGAATTTTAATAAAATCGTATATCTAACGATGAACTACTACCTAAAGAAATATTATATGAATAAAGGCAGCTGGCTAAAGAGCTGGCCTGTTGCATCAGAAATCAGACAGT